TGTGATCACTAGCTCCAGCAGCTGCTTCGTCATGTTAGGTTCTCAACGCTCCACTGGCAGGAACTCAAACGAACCGGCCTAGGGAAGATCGTCGATAGTGCCGTTGTTATACCGTGGCCAAGTTTACAGAAAGAGTCCGCAGAAACCTTCAATACGGATCGTTTCGCCCAAGATATGATCAAAGATGTCGTCGAAGCTGGTGTAGATCTCAATAAGCTGATCCTCACTGTAAGTGTAGTACACTAAGTGTACGCGACTTCTACAATCTTTAGTACCTTGCTGCTTTTCTGCGATAGAGAGTTTTCTTTGGAGTCACCTTCTGCATTGATGGCGCGTTCGCTGAGACAGTCTGTCTCAGACAGATTTCATACATACTGTGTGGCATGAAATCCAACGTTGCTTTTCAGATACCACTACTCGCTAGGCCGACCTATGATAGCGGGGACATGGGATACTCGAATGCAATCTACGACCTTGTTGCGGACCCCAGGGGGAACGGATCAGTCGTCTTCTCGGATGGGACCGGTTTGTATTTCTTCTCACAAACTCGTGCAATCGAGAAGGTTGCCCTGGCCAAGAAGTACGGACTGCACGGCATTGGACTACAAGCCGGCGACGGTTTCGTGCTGAACGATTTATACCCTTGGGACGCAGACTCCCTGTTTCACGGCATTGCTTCAACTCGCGGACGATCCCTCACCGAGTAATACTCAGCTATTTTTCTGAGGGATGCCTCTCAAGCTGGGCCTTTATCACATTTCACTTCAATGCCCAGTGGCGTCACTTATTACTTATTCATCACTTATTACGGAAGAAGTTCCCAGAAGTTTCACTTCTGGGGGATGTTAAGTTGGAGAGTAAGTCTTTACCAATCGTTTGTATACAGGCTACTGAAGAGTACCTGAAATCTTCTTCGGGTTAGAGGTTCGAAATCCTCTTCGAATTGTAGGTGGAGCCCCAGGCTCCACGATCACTTAAAATGGCTCAGTTCCTCCCAAGTGTGGCGATTTGACAAGTTCACTTGTCCCCGTTAGGTTACGAGCCCCAATAATGGCACTTTTGGAGGACTTGAGCTGTCAAGTGAGCATCATCGAAACCTGCCTACTGTTGTTGTTGTTGTTGTATATGTTGTTGTTGTATATGTTGTTGTATATGTTGTATATGTTGTTGTTGTATATGTTGCGTATGTTATTGTTA